TGACTATTGTGTCATTGTGTGATTGTAAGCTAATTAATCGTCCAAATTGTCAATTTATTGGTTGAGATCATCTTTTAATAGAATAGTGAAAATAAAGATTATTGCTATTACTAATTTCTGACAAGTTGTCCATTAGTACATAAGGAAAAATATAATAATTCTCCTAAATTAAACTTGTTCAATAACAAATTGCACTAACCTAACAAGATGATGAACAACGACACTTCCATCTCTTTTTACATACATGAGATCGACCAGGAAACAAAATCAAAGAAAGAACTGAAAAATAAAATGTCTTCTAATATGGAGTCCAAATCTATGAATCGAAGAAACTAGCAGCCTTTGTGAGACGAGAGACAATGGATTGGCTTTGAAACTTGGCTAATATACTACGGAGTATTATTATTCAATAAAACCTAGCTAACTTTAATTGACTAATTTATAGGACAATATGAACCCACGAAGGTGAACAATATGTCTGAATTCTTATACTATTAGAGTTTTAACTTTCACCTTATATATACTGAACATAATTTTTTTTTGCTAAATTAAATTGTTGTTATTACTTATTACACAATAATTTTTTTTATCGTTCTTGGACTTAACTTATTTTTATATACTTTTTAACTTATTTTACAGAATATTAATTTTGTAAGATGAAGAGAACTTGATATATAGAGCCAAATATTTATAACTTCACTGAAATATGAATGGTAATTTTAGCTTTAGATTGTTCGGAAATGTAAGCTCTTGAATTTAACATTTTTTTTTTCTTAAATGCTTATAATTTTATTTATTTTTGGACAAGTTAAATGCTTATAATTTTTTGCATTCAAAAGTTTCATATTGGTTTACAAACCTTCTAAACCGCTTGCCCTTTTTTAAGACATACTTAAATAGCTTATTATTTTTGTTGAACTTAATTAGCTTATTATTTTTGCTCTATAACTTGTTTAAACATTTCGAGAATAACGTTCTTAATTATATCACCTTCTCTTTGATTTCCTAAACATGTTTAATCACGTTTCCAAGGATCCGCTAATCACATAATTAACAAAAGCTCTGCAATCCAGACCACTAGACAATTAATTAGTAGTAAAACTACTAAATTAGTGATGATATCTACAAATGACACATAGCTGGCTGCCAACAACTCTTTCTCATTTCTGATTTAATCACATGATTCAAACTTTAGATTACAATAATCATTCAACAAACAAATAAACCTATACATACAATATTATAAATAATTTAGCTTAATACAATGTATAGTTCTATAAATGGGTCACCTATGTCAAGAATTTATATAGCCATCAGAAAATGTCGAATGGCTTCTTTTAGTACAGACAAAATTAGAAATGTACCTTGTATTTTAACTTATTTAAATATATATGTTTCTTAAATAAATTCATGTATAATAATTTATTTTATAAGGTTAGAGATTCAATAATATTTTATAACAGCCAAATATCTCTATGTTTCGTCATGCATGTATCTAGACGTTTGCGTCCACTTTACATGTAAGTTGTATGTACAAAAGTACGAATTCCATGTACAAATATAGTAATATTAATGTCATGATTTTATGATATGAATGATCATTTTGTACCATGCAATGTATACAACGAGAATTGCACTAAGAATAGTGAGAAAGTTTTCTGACAATGTTGGATTAATATCAGAATTGTTTTGTTGGATTCGATGTCATATTCATAAATAATGTTTAACGTTATTACGTACTATTTGTTCTTGGTACAATGTTGGAATTAGTCTTGAGGGCTTCACACAATAATTGACTTGGCCTTTTTAATTGTATGGTCCTCTCTCATGGTCAATTTTCTTAGGCTCTAGGGTGTACACACATGATCGGAATTAGGATCCGAACGAAATGGACTAGACTAAAATTTTGATTTTGGATTTTTGGTTCGTTTTAGTCCAAATTTGTTTGAATTCAATTCTTGCTTGGTGACTCGATTTCTTTTTGTATTTGAAAAAATATTGAAAGTTAGGTTAAATCGATGCATTAATAATACTTTATTTATTCATTTATTAATTAGATTTTTGAAATGACAATCTTTCATGTTAAAATACTGAAAGACCAATAAATATTAATACTTTGTAGAGCACTGTACTATCACTAAATGATATATCTTCAATGGGGTAAACTATACCAAAACCATATTTGTTGGAAGAGTTGATAAAAATCAACAAACTTATATATCCGGATTCTATCCCAAAACTAATTAGGAGTCGTTTGGTTCACTAAGTTGGAATGGATTGGTATGGATTCTCATACTTGGGTAGTAAAGATTCTATATCCCATATCAATCTAAAGTTGTTTGGTTTAATCATAGAATGAATTCTCATACTGATTATCAATCCTTAAGGGGGAGGTGGGTATGAGATTCCAATGGAATGAGGTGGAGTTAGAATCCCCCAGATATAAGATTCTATACTTAAATAGCCCAACCAAACAAATAAAATCATAAAATGGATTCTAAATCCATTCCAATCCATTCCAAGAAGTTCAACCAAACAGCCCCTAATAGGTGGCCAGAGTAAACTATCAAACTTACATGTTAGTAATTATTCTTTTTTACTTTCTTCATTGTAGGACAGAGATGGAAGGAGGCATAATAATGACAATAATTTATATTAACTCGTAGTAAAAGTAAAATTATCGTGATAAACTTAATTGATAGATTATTATTAATACTCTGTGTTATAACTAATCCGATATCAATTCTACGTACCCCAACTTATATAATTTGAACCGAAAGCGAATGACCTAACCTAATACTAAGAATGTAATATGGATTGTTTATGATAGCAAGCAATTGGCTTTACATCCGAATATTATCTTTGCTGAATGCCTAAAACCAAATTGAAAGACTTATCACCTAAATCTGATCCAAATCTAACATTATTCCTATTGTACATTACTCTTAGTATTGCACGGGATATAAATCATATTATAATAACGAAAAGTCAAATAAATTTAAGGAAATTTGAAACTAATAGAAACTGAAAAAAAAATCCATATACAAGCTTCACTGCTTTCATAATACACGAGAAAGTAATTTGTTTAATTATTTTTACAAAAATAATTAAGTTGTTAAAATGTTCAAATCAACATATGGTTGAGATAAATTGTCATATTTTCTTTAGTCTTTTATTATAAAAGAAAAAAAAAAGGAAGGGGGGGGGGGGAGAAGAGAAACAAAGTATCTACTTGTGAAGATATAACTAAACACAATAATAATGATGTATGAATATCAATGAATTAAATCTTCATATTTACATATAATGGAATGAATTGATGACAATTCCTTTGTATATTAATTTTTGATTAAGATTTGGCTGTCTTTTTCGAGGTTGTAATCGATATGAAATTGACTTTTTCTCTATTAGTTTTCTAAGGGGTGACTTTTCTTTTAGGGTTGTAATTTATATGAAGTGTGCTTTAAGTTTCTTTCTTTCATTGTTAATTTTCTTCCGTGATTGTTTTCTATCTGCTTTTAGTTCTGGTGAGATCAAATGTTGTATGAATAATAAGGTTTCGAAGAGAATTTAAAGGAATTAATCTAAAATAATACCAATTTAAGAAATTAATTATCATCATGTGTTATAATCATATACATTTATTGTAAAAACGGTCTATAATAATGTAATTTTGTCCCTTTACGTGTTGATATTTGATAATTGATAATCGAAAGTTATAGTAACAAGCTAATTGTGGTACAGTCGATACATCATGTGCCTTCCTCTACAAAGTCAAGTCTATTTGAATTCGAAAAGCTTATTAAAAATTCTCAACAGAAAAAATATATTTGGCGTAATACATTTGTTTAAACTTTAAAGATAATACTTGTAATAATTATAATAGTGGCAAGTGGGAGTACGGTTTTGTATTAACCCATTTCTGTTGGATATTAAAGTCATTTCAATATATGCAAGTTGCATGGTGAGATTGGAATATTTGACACCCTAACAACTCCTCAACTATTCGCTAATTTCAAACTATTATGAAGGAAAGATGAAGAAATAAAGGTTGGGTGAAAACCTAACATTGGATAGATGTTGGGTTACCTTAACAAAAACATAGCTTAACAAAATGGTGAAACTTGAAATAAATAAAAGTTTTTATTTTTATTTTATTTATTTGTACAAATAAATATCTATAATATTGAGTGTGGTAATTTTCTTCACAATTTACATGAATTATTCTACTTATAAAAGTCAAGTATTATGTGTTTAAGCGTTGCTTTATACAGACTGTCATCACTTAGTTTATAAAATAATACCTCCATTCTAGTAATATTGCAACAATTGGACTTTTACACTATTCACCATGCTTGTTTGATCACAAATTATGATTTGTACGTAAAGTAAAATATAGTTATGTTCGGTCTTGTTAGATTCATCTCGTAAAATACTTGCACAATACTCTTATATAATTATAGTTATTTAACATATAAAATGTGCTTTGGGATGCGTAATTACATTCTTGTTGCAATATTTATGAAATAGAGGAAGTATTTTTCAATCACTAGTCTCTTTCAAATTTAAAATTAAGATGATTTAACAGATCTTGTTTTAATTTAATGCTTACATATCTTGAAGAAAAAAAACCTAATACGTTACTCATAATTATCCCCTCCATTGTTGCTCCATAAAATAACAACACATTTTCATTATTAAACAATCGATCCGACCTTTCTCCATCTTGTAATTCCACTCAACATTACTATTTTAATCATGTTGTATATAACATATTTCCATTTTAAGTTCTACCTTTGATGCAAAAGGAGTAGCAATCTCTCTTTTTTGCATTGCATATCAATGGTGCTTTATTACTTATTATGCACCAAAAAGATCTCATTTATTTAATTAACCACATGAGGAACATATCCAAACTAATTAATTAAATTGGGATATTTTTTAATCAAAAAGTATTTTTTTTTAAATTACAAAAAATTAAAAATTTGATTGACATATCATGCACATAAAGCAGGATGGACAGTTTTCCCATTGCTTTTGAACTTTCGTTCCTTTCATACTATTTTTTTTGTAATTTTTTTTCTTCAAAGTTTACATAAAAACATAACCAGCTCTCTTCAGCTGTGTTTTTTCTTTCTTGTTCTTGCTTTTTTTTTGTGGGTTGTTATACTAATTTACATATTGCAACTTGCACCACCTGCATCCTACACCTATCTCCACATTAAACAATTAATCAACTAGAATAATTAAAAAAAACAAAATTAATTAATTAGATGTCACAAGGCAGCAACCACCATCTGCTTCTTGTTACTTGACTCCATGGTCAACAACTCCACCTCCCTTAACCTCTTCCTATTGCCACATCTATTTCCGGCCGCCGCTTCGGCCACCACATTTTCACTAATGACAATTGGAGATTTACAAATATCCACCCCAAACAATCGTAGCATTGGCCCAGTTGATCGTACCTCCACTACTGGGCACTGGACAACAACACGGTTGTCCCTGTCCAGTGCCTCAATAGACTCAGGCTCAGGGCCGTTTCTGACATTTCGTTGTTTGTAGTCAATGTAGAGCTGCTTGTCCGGGCCAGTAGATCTCTGGAAGCTTACAATATCCCCGGCCTTAAGACACTTCTCCTTAACAAATCGGCTCCACCCCTTAGTCAAGACGTAGCTCTGGCTGCTATTCCAGTACGAGTACCGGAACCTCCAGACCTTCTCGTTGACATCCTCGAAGTTTAGCAGTACGCCTTTGGACGAGGAGGAGCACGTCCCGCTCCCACCCGAACTCCCTTGGAGCGGGAAGTGCTTCTCGGCGTGCTGCTTAGGTATAACCAACCTATTCAACTTCCCTACATCACTAGGAGTCACTACTTTCTCAAACAATTGCTCCCTTCCAAATCCTCCACTACTTCCATCAATTGCCTTGGCTTTATCACCAGATAAAATCGATCCAACTCCTACTTTCTCAACGTCCACCTTAAAATTACGCCTGCTTTGCTGCAACTCATCGATGTAAGTATGTTTTCGGAGCATGTCGACAACCTCGGCCTTCGACCTCGAGTTCAAAAACCGTAGCTCACCAGCACCCAGCTCATCCTCCGTCGAAAGCGGCTTGAAGTTTGTGACAGCGTCACGGCCACGGAACCGTTGCGCAGCTACGTCGTATGCACGAGCAGCTTCATCTTCTTCATTGAAAGTACCAAGCCAAACCCTCTGATGCTTCTCATAGATTTGAGCCCCCCACCGGCCATTAGGCTGTGGGACCACTCCCTTGTATTTTGATGATGGGAGCTTCCTCGACTCGGCCTCGATTCCGTTTTCAGAATCGATGACCACACTCGTACCGCTCCCCATCCGGCATAGACTGCCCGCCATAGCGGACGCCTTGCAGGGTAAGGGAGCGGGTTTGATAACATTACGAACCATTATTGTAGGTTGTGGGGTGGTACTAATGAGAGATTCACTCGTTGCAGAACTTTCATCCATACTACTTCCATCCATTTTTTTTTTCAAAATATCAAAAATTAACTTTTAGAATAAATATTTCTTTTAGGGAGAGAAAATTAGGAAAGATGGTGAGTTCTAGAGAGAGAAGGGAGGTGAGAAGTTGGGTTATATTATGTGGGGTTTGAATGAGGTTGGGAAGGTTGAAGAGGGGTATATATAAGAAGTTTTCTACTAAAGGAAATAAATAAATAAGTAAGAAAATAATATAATTATGAAAGTATAACTATAACATAGAAATTAATTATTTTTTAAAATAAATAATTAATATAAAAATAAAAAAAAAAGGAGAAAAATGTAAGTTTGGGGAGTGGGTCAACAGAAAGGAAGATTCAAGGATAGAGTGGGGAGGAGTGATAAAGGGCGAGAGTATGTATGTGTTGTGGGCTATGTATGGGAAGGGGGGTGGGGCCCACAAGAAATAAGCAAGTTGATGGTATTCACATGAGTATAAAAATAGCCAATAGGAAGAGGAGAGAGAAAAAGAGTGTGGGTAAAGTGTAGAAATCGTAATAGTAGTAGTAAATTGTAAGTGCATCCCCCTGAAATATGTCGTCGAGTATCATCTCTGCTGCATTACAATAGGATAAACTTGCCTTTGATTCTTCTGCATGGACCTCCCCTCCTTCCTTACTCTTTTTTATCTTATAATCATGATATATAATATCCATATTTTATACTCTACATGTACTAATTATTTCTTTGTTCTAATTTGGAAAAATATTCAATTGGAATATATTGTGTGAGATATAGATAAAATTTTGATTATCACTGATTTGATACAAGTAAAGAATAAGATTGGAATAGAAAAAGGAAAATTTGTCAATTGCTGTCATTTAAAAAAAAAATTGCAAATTGCAGCCTAAAAGTACTAATAAATTGTAAATTGCAACTCAATTCAATTATTTCATCGATTTATGTGTCGAAAATTGTTGCATAAAGGTTTTAGGAGTCATTTTAGGGCATAAAAAACCAAAATGAGCTCAGAATTGGCAAAAAATTAATGTAAGGGCCTCATTTTTACGGCAAAAAATAGTTTCACACAAATCGATACTTTTTTACACTCAAAACGAGACACTTATGTTATTTTTTTGCAAATTCCGAGCTCAATTTGCGGCTTTAAGGGCTAAAATGACCCCTAAAACCTTAATGAAATATTTTTCAGCATGCAAATCGATGAAAAAATTAAATTAGGTTGCAATTTACAATTTATTAGTACTTTTGGGCTGCAATTTGCAATTTTTTTTTTAAATAGCTACAATTTACAAAATACTTCCTCCGTTTTGTTTTTTACTTGATCCGCTTTGGCTTTTACATTATTCACCACTCCTTTTTTTACCGTCTTTTGTGAATTATATATAAGTCAAAATATATTCAAGTGGGATCTTAAGCACTATTATAATATATAACTTATATAATTTTTACTTATGGGGAATTAAAGTTATTGATCGTTAAAATTCTGCATTGACAAGCGTGATAAATAAAAACAAATCAAGTAAAAAATAACAGAGAAAGTACAAACTTTAAATGACTGCAATTGACAAATTTTCCATTGAAATAATTGATACATTTAAATAGAACCTTACTATAGTTAGTTATTTCGTCATTTATCCTTGTCCAGGCCAATCCTAATACCCCTCCTCTCCCAATTTTTATTCTTGTGCCTTAAGTAGGTTTTTTTTTATCTGTTTTCCTAATTGTTTACTTGTCCCAATGCATCTCTCGAAACATACAAATTATTTCTTTTTCCTTTTCGTATTATTAATCTTTATTCCTAGATACTAACTCATTCAGTGAATCGAGTATGTTATGTTCTCTCCATCCCATCTTGTTTCCATGTATTTGGAAGTAAATTGACATATACTTCCCCAGTTTTTTAATAGTTGCAACACATTTTTTTAACGGTATTTAACAAAAGTGGAGTTTACATGATTTAATTATACACTTTAAAATGGGGTAAGAGGTTTATTAGGAGTATAATTTAGTGGGTCATGTGCTTTAAATAAGGAAAATAATACAACTTTTTCCCAAAATATCATTTCAATTATAGTGTGTTGCAAGTATTGTGACATTTTCATTTTAGTGAAGTGTTACAAATATTAAAAAACGGAGAAAGTATGTATTTATGAAATTATGAATTATACTTGCTTCATTAATGTATATTTCTATAACTTGGACTTTCATAAGGTTCATTCACACACTTTCCTTTGACGACGACTATATATAAATATATATATAAAGTTTTATTATGTAATAATCCTTTGTAGTATATACTCTAAAAATATTTACTTTTTATAGCATATTTTTTTACACGTGTGTACCCATGAGGCATGAGCTATATCTAGCTACAAAATAAATGTATTTTGGTAGCTTAGCTTCGATTCATTACCAATAATCGAGTATTTGTTGAAAAAAAGGAGTGAAAACCCTCTATATAAAAATATATTTATCTTGAAATAAAAATCATGCTTTAACAATCATGAATTTTAGATGATGCACGTAAAAAAGAATGAATGGTCTAATTAATTAATTTTGCATTCATACATTATTTTACTATGAATTCTGTCCAACTCTGTTGAAATTTGATGTATTGATAGTTTGATTATATTCCAATCTTAGCTAAATTTGGGTGATAAATTTTTAAATAAATATATTTGATTATGATAGTAAAATATTTTTGACGTGGTTAGATTTATAATAAAAATAAGTAATACGAAGTAATAAGCTTTTGAAATAAAGAGATAGAAAATACCCTAAATAGGAGTCAATAACATTCTTAAAAAAATAAGTTTCATGCATTACTGCAATTATAAATACAAAAAGCTATGTGAGCATTGTGAAGTCCCAAATTTTATTCTAAATTTTGTCCAAATGAATCAATATATAAGGGTATTACAAATTACATCTAGGAGATTGAAATAGTTTAACATGTGACCTATTGTATATAAATCCTTAATCTTAGCCATCAATTCAACACCTCATTGATTAAAGTAACATGTATTAAGAAGTATTTCGTACAATTTTAGCTAGTTAGCTTGCCCACCTGGCCTGAATAATTTATCCTCAATCACTTGTGTCTTGTTAGTTTGAAATGTCAATAATTTGTTAATTTTGAAATCCAATGGTTTATTTTCCTATTTCTTAAAATCGTACTGTAGATACTTTTTTGCTTGGTTCGATATTTTTTTTTCTTAAGAAAAAATAACAATAAGGGAGACTATTTAATATATATGTTTATGATGCAAGGAGTCAAACACTTATTATATTGAATAATTCAACTTGTTATGTATTAATTACTTGCATACACTAAGTATTGTATTTCAAACTATATGGCCCAATGCAACCTTATGGTCAAAGCTAAGTTTTTGGTGTTATTAGATCGAAAATTTAAATCAGGCTAAGAAAAAGATTAGTTTTTTTTTTTTTTTTTTTTTTTTTTTGTGGTGCAATAAGAAAAAGATTAGTAAAATAATGATGAATACAACACTTAGGGTTACATGTAAGAAAATTATCATGGAGAATTAAACATTTTTAATATAATTAGTAAATTTAGTTCTTATAATATACTCCGTATCATATTTTAATTTTCTTTCAAGATTTAGAGGGTCAAATGACCCTTAATTCACGACAAATTAATTAATAGCTAGTTCTTTCAAAAAACAAAAAAAAAAAATTAATAGCTAGTTGTAAGAAGCAATCATAACAACTACTCGTATATACAATCATAATCAATTAGCTATCATCTTAATTAAAATCACGAATGTAATATACATAGTAAATAAATCATAATATACTTTTAAACGTAGTATATATATTGATTAAGCAAAAGGTATATACTTGTATATATTTATCGTTACCAATTAAATTTTTTAAATGATAAAATAAAATTTAAAAGTTGAATTTTTTGGCTTCTATTATATAATTCCTTATTTGTTTCGGTAAGGTAGCTAGCGTATCATAAATGGAATTCAATTATTATTCAAAAAATCGATCTTGTAGAATATTTTATGAGTGTACCTAATTATGTATCCTAATGCAAATTGAGGTGTTAATTTTGGATTGAATTGTGTATGTGTATGTTACACACAAAGATCGACTATCCAAGTAGCTAAGCAGACTTGATTTTGCATATGTTAACTCTATTTAAAATAACAATGTTAATTAGCAAGCAATATGCTTCCAAACAAGCAATTCTCATTGAGAGCATTGAATATTTTGGTTGATTTTGTCCTTTAACATGTTCGTGAATGTTCTCGATAGACATTATCGTGATAATACTATATTATAGATACGGATTATTCCATGATGTATATGTATTTCCCACACCCGGGCCCTATGGAAATCTTATCTGATTATAAAACCACAACCCCACCAAAATGAAAACTTGCTCGATAATTTGGTGCAGCAGCCTTAAAATCAATACTACATACTAGTTGTATAATACAGTATATAATAATCTATGATATGATATAATAAAAGTAGTACATATAAATTCACCCCAGCTGCAGGCCAGATTAACATGAAAGTGAGAGTTATACAACACTACTCGTAGTATGTAGAAGAAACAGCTGACCTGAATAATGTTGGATGGGTTAATGGGTCCCACACTACTCGATCTATACTTGTAACTAGACATACATATACAATATGATAGGATAATAAACGATATCATAGACTTTATTTATAAAAACGAGCAAAACCATGGGTAAACGATGCTATCTCATTGGCCACTCTCTTTATTGTCTACCTTCTACGCTTTTATTATTTATTTTAAAAAAATATTTTTTATATTTATTATTTTAAAAAAAAATATTTTTTATATTTATTCTAAAAAAATAATTTCTATTTATTTATTTGTCTTTATTATTATTGTTGTTATAATTATTATTCGGGCAAAATATGTATGCACTGTATTGTATATTTGTATATCAAAGGCTCCCAACAAGTGGACTGTGGGCATGCATTAGATGCATGTACCCATGTACGATATCAAGTAACCTATTATGTTTAATGGGATTGGTGGAGAATTTACTTTAATTTGTAATTTTGCGTTCACAAATTTGATTCCTACTATACATTTGCTTGGGAGTAGATTGATTTTCTTACCCCACTCTACTCTTAAGTGTTGACTTGCGGA